AGATCTCATTTGCAATAACAAAGTTATTCAATTCAAGATAATATTAAAACTATAGAGTAACATAAGAAAAGCCTCACAATTTCACACATATTGAAACCTTACATAAACGAAGCAACCTTATTGAGTATATAAACCTGAACCAACATTGTGAACACCGAGCTGGATCGAACAGACAACTGCAATCTTTAAACCTACATGGCATTGGAGAAAGTGCATTAATCAGCTTCCGCTTTATTAATTATAAACAATAACGAACTGGGAAAGAGTTGATAATCGGTAGAGAAAAAGCTGCGTCGGACGACTCGGGTAAGACTATTTTCAACCCGATCCGAATATGAAGGTGAACCTAAAAAAGAACTGGGAAAGAGTTGATAATTAATGGGCAGAGAAGAACTCAAGAGTTGATAAGAACTCAGAACGAGCTGCGCAGGATGATTCGGGTAAGACTATTTTCAACCTGACCCGAATATGAAGGTGAACCTAAAAAAGAAGTGGGAAAGAGTTGATAATTAATGGGTAGAGAAGAACTCAAGAGTTGATAAGAACTCAGAAAAAGCTGCGAAGGATGACTCGGGTAAGACTATTTTCAACCCGACCCGAATATGAAGGTGAACATAAAAAAGAACTAGGAAAGTTGATAATGGGTAGAGAAAAACTCAAGAAAAAGTTACGAGAAAGCAGGAGGATGACGACTCGGTAAGACTATTTTCAACCCGAACCGAAAAAACTAAAAGAAAAAAAAGAGCCGAAGATGATGAACTCGGATCGGATCCCCATAAGAATGAAGAAAGTGAAAATAAAAAAGAGCTAGGAAAGAATGATTGGGGCCCCAGATTTTTAATTTAAAAAAAAAAAACTCAAAAAAAATCTGAGCTAACCAGTATCGAAATTATCCCAGTCACTGACTGGGTACCATGAAAGCTCCGTTGGTGGGATAAGTCGGTGCACTTGGTGTTGGTGGTGGATGGGAGACAGTTGATGAACCTGCACTCACTCCTTCTTCACCATAATCCGGTAACATTGCTTTAACGGGAGTTATTTCTTGTGTTCGGATGCCGGGAGATGGCTGTGGTCAGGGGCGGACCCAGGCCCTTTGAGGGTAGGCCCAGGCCTGCCCTCAACTTTTAAAAAAAATTTGAGAAGTTTTTTTAAAAGGTAAAAAAAAAGAGAAAAAGTTAGGTTTTGCCTTTTTTATATTCAAGTTTTTCTTTCTCAATTCCCAACTTCCCTTCCCTTTTACATGCGTATCTGGATTTGGAGTGATTGTAATCCATATTTTTGTAAATCTTTGTGTATTTTACTTTTATTAGAGTTGTGATTGAATTCTAAATTTATGTAGAATATTTTTGGTGAATTTGTGGTTATTATAAATGATAATCCTATTTTTTCCTATGATTTTGTATTGAATTTCGATAGGATTTAGGATACTTCTCATACAAATTGGGCCATAATTGCTACCTAATTTTATTAATTTGTCTTTGTAGGCCTAAACGATGATTTTGAGTATAGATGACAGTTTTGAGCGTAAATTACTTAACTTGAGCTTGGAAACTCAGAATGACCTGATTTTAGAAGCTTTAGAAAGCTAAGAAGCAGAGCTACAACTTTCATGTTTTGGGTTTTTCCTAATTCTGACTGGACAATGGTGAAAACTTGGCTTGAAGTTGTGAACAGTACATTGGAAACCGAAGGAAAACGTCTTTGGATGTGCTTCAGTATTTCTTCCATAACTTGAGCTGTAGACCTCGGATTGTTCTGATTCCTGAACGAGTAGAAACATAATATAAAGGGCTACAATTCATATTTTTAATACTTTTCCATATTAAGACTCTTTCATGCTCAAATTTGGCTCGAAAGATTCTCTCTGCGGCAAGAAAAAAGCTTCGCTGCGGCGAAACTGCGTCAGATGTGAAAAATAAAACGACGTGTTTTGGCTTGCTAGGGCTTGGTCCTTAAGTGAAAGAGGTATAAATTAGCACAAAAACGTAAGAAAAAAGGCCTTGGTTCGTCATTTGGAAGGCAGCTTTTGGAAGAAGAAGATTATTGAAGATTTGGGCTTCAAATTAGAGAAGATTTCTCCAACTTTTGCTTGTTTTTCAATGATGAATCTTGATTCAGTTTGTTTTTGTTATTTTGTTTTGTTTTTGAGTATGAACTGAGTTGTTTAGCTGATGTTTGATGTAACCTTAATACAATGATTCAAATTTATATGAATTGATTTACTTTGAGTTTTAATTTCATGATTGAGTGTTTATCTCTTTGCTTAATAACTTTTGGATGCTTGATTACCATTCAAATGTGTGTTGTTTACAATGAGATTGAGAAATGATTTGTGAATGTGCCTCTTGGGATAAATACCGTAGATTAAGCAAACACTAGAGATAGGTTTAGCGATTTATGAGAGATAGGTTTAGCGATTTATGAAATCTAGATAGAATTCCATAAAGCTTAAAAGACTTTGAGCTATTAATCTTCATTAAGCTTAAAAGACTTTAAACTCTTAATCTTCATTTTGTTAGGTGCGGAAGCTTAATAGGGATAAGTAGGAAAATATAGCCTGAGAATGTATGTTTTATAACTTAGGGAATTCAATTTTCAATCAAGGAATTAGAACTTGTATAATAGATTCTATGATTTGGGTTAGCATATCTACGTGAAATTAACACCTTAGCATTTTTTTTAGCATTTTGTTTAATTAGTTAAGTTGTTGGGTTTCGCTTTAATTTCATTATCATTCATTTATATTTTCTTAAATTGTATTTAGTTAGTTAATTTTTTATCAATCCAATTTATTGTTGCTTCAATTAGGACTTAAACTAGAGAAATCGGTACTTAGTAACACTATCCTCGTGGGAACGATACTCTACTTATCACTTTATTACTTTTTACGACTAGTGCACTTGCTATATTTGCATGTTTATCAAAAATATGCATCAGTAAACTCTTTTGATTATATTGGATTTAAGTGGATCGTTAGATTATATTCCCGTGGTTTTTTTATCTTTTCACATTGAAGAGGTTTTTCCACGTAACAATTTTCTTATGTTTCCTTGTGAATTGGATGTTATTTTCTTATGTTTTCATTAGTTGATTGGCAAACAGTGGCGGAGCGAGGGCCCCCCCGGGCAAAAATCCTGGGTCCGCCACTGGCTGTGGTGGTGGATCGGTAGGGTTTGTTGAATCAAGAAAGAAGACACAGGCATTACGACCATTTCCTTGAGTATTTGACATACTTTTCTCTGTCCGATATTATCAGTGAAGTTGTATATTTGTTTTGTATTCAGAAGAGCTCTATTTAAAAGGGAACGTTTCGTTTTCGTTTTCATTATCGTTTGCTGACGTTGCGGCATGTAAGAAAATATTGAACAACGAAAACGCCTTTTTAAATTAAAATTATAAGAACATCTCTAATAATACTCCTTATTTGATAGAGTATCTTCAATTGCTTTTGCTGTAGAATTAAAAGCCGGTCATCCTTTGACCTTTTCATCAAGCTTCTAATTTGAAAACTGTCAAATTTGACTCTATATATAAATCACACTTTTCTTAATCAATAAGTTTATCGTTTATCCATTTAAGGCAAACACAACTCCAGTACAGGTGTTATAGGTAAATCATTCTTCATTAATTTTTTACTTTATCATAGCTTAGATTATTAGGTATGGATGATGTTTGCAAGTGTCGAAAAGAGAGAAAGTTCAGATAAATATGTATTTGACCAACTTATTTATTTATTTATCACATTCACCAACTTATTTATTTATTAATCACACCTTCTCTACACGCAACTGGATCCCTATAAACGGTTAACGACTTTTCCACCATGTGATTTCTACTAGGGCGGTGAAAAAAACCCGAAACTAGAAACCCAACTAAATCGAATCAAAAAAATGGTTTTTCCTTTTTTTTTAAATAGATTCAATTCCGTTTAAAATTTGGGCTAAACCGGTGTACCAGTTTGGCTCAATTTTAAATTCGGTTAATCAGAGCCGAACTAGTTAACGGCTTTTTTTTTTTTTAAATTCCCAATTCCAATATTCTTAAAGACTTATATTAAAATTAACCCTAAGTCCTAAATCTTTAACTCCGCCTGTCGCAAACGCAGACCTGCAAATCAAATTTTTTTTTCTTAAAACAATTCAAAAAACCTGTCGTTTCATGGTCAAGCCATCTTTTTATCCCACACATACACACCTCCTACACTTATTTTTTTTTATTCTACACACACCTCCTAAACTTATTTAAGGACTTGTGAAACAAACCAGATCGATTCGAAGCATCTCTTTTTTATTTTAATATATTTCTTAAATTATCATAAGAATGGAGACGTTCACGTAGCCTAGTTTGCATGCAAGTTGCTTTTTTCATGCATAACCATGACCTAAAGCACATTTGGGCCCACTACGTACTTTGTTGTACCAGGTGGGTCTCTTTAAACCACTTGAACCATTTATTTAATTATTTTATTGGTCAAGTTATCTTTTAAATTTAATATTTGAATAATATATTATTCTTATAGAACATTAGATGATAAAATATAAATACATAAAAATTTAATTTTAACTTTAAATTAATTAATGATATTTTATCGTATAATATTATATGAAAAAAATATATATATATATAATATTACTCTTAATATTTACACTTAAAGTTGGTGCCCATATAAACTATTTATAATTATCTTGAGCGAATCAGAAAATGACAAAAGGACAATATTATACTAACGAATCAAAAAATAACAGAGGGACAATACTATATTTATGATTCAATTTTATAAACTTTCTCTTATAATCATGATATAACAATTCATAATTAATCAATTCATAAAGAGGTCTTATTTGCTTGTTATGAATCTCACCTGCCTAATTACGAACTATTACATCGAAATTGTAAAATAAAAATTCGTAAAATTAAATTGTAAACCAATTTTTATTGATAACAAAATGGCAGTATAAAAATCTTTAATACTATAAAATTGTGCCCAAATGAAATATTCATAACATGAAAATTTTAGGTCAATAAGATAAAAAGAGCAGCAACAGGTATCTCTAAACTTATACAATGGGTTAACACAAAATGGAAAAAGAAAAAAAAATGCTAATTGTCAAACTCCCATACAATTCAAAGTGTACTCTAAGAATGCCAATGGAAACTCTCATAAACCCCGTGCATGAAATTCAGAAAGAAGCGATCACACAACTTGGTAATTTTCGGTGGCCAAAACCGTTCTCTGTGAAAACTTGGGAGAAGGTCCGCCTCTTAAAGGGAGGATATTTACAACCTGCAGCAACAACAATTTTGAGTTAAAAATCAAAACAGAAAATGAAAACCAGAGGCAGAGAAGTTAAAAGGAATGAATAATTTATCTATTTCTTTTATATAGTATCTAAAAGAACATATCAGACCGTAAAAAACTGAGCTCACATCAAAACCTCCATGGGTACAGAATGGGTTTAAACCTAGTTAAATATCATCATATGCTGTGATAGGTAGCATTCTCCTAAAGACCCCATTCAAAATGTCGAGATTACGGTGAAATTTACAACATCCATGATACCTTCACATCGGTTTGATCACTTAAGTATACATAATAGTTTCCAAGGGCAGGACGAGCCTTTTCAGAACAGAATTCAATTTAACATAAGTTCCACTATGAAGTACATACCATAGTATAGATTTTATGCTTGAAAATGATATTGCAACAGAAGCATATAAATAATACCAGAAACTTAGCGAACTTATGATGTTACCACAAGATTGTAACCACAAAAAGAGAAGAAAACATATTATTATTCGTTGAGACAATAACAAAAAACCGAATTATAATGTCAAACAAACCTTTAGGTCACTGTATGTACTGGTAGCTGAAAACCGCACAGAGATGGGGAAAAAAGCTGATGAATCAGCTGGAGGCACAACAAATTCCATCGATCCACTGCATATTCAGTAGAGTACAATATCAATTTTATGCATTTACACTGAACAAGAGAATATGTAACTCATGAAGGTGAAAGTATAGTAATCACTGACCTGCGGTTAGAGTTATCAATGAGAAGTATCGACCACTCCAAGACAGAATTTCTAGAGTCATACCTGAAAGTCAAAAGGAATGCTAGTGTTGAAGGCACATATTCTTGTCATGACAGATAGAAGGAAAGATAACTAAAATCCAAAACTCACAAAGTATACAAAATCAAATTTCTTACCTCCACTCTCCATCAATCTGCTTAACAATTGGTGCCTCTCGGAGAGCAGGAAGAGGTACTGAGATAACAACATTTTGCAGATCAAACATTGATGAAGCTTCATATTCGATGCTCACGTAAGTTTCGTTTCCAGAAACAGAGGGCCAGCAGTTAACTGCAATAAATATATATAAATCCACATAAATGCTTTTAGCATAGAAAAGAAATGATATAGAGAGAAAATTCAGTGAAAGACTTGAGCCCACTTGACAATGGCACCATTGACTCATCAACACTTTGCATTCTCCACTTCAAAAGACCAACACCTCCCACATCACCAGCTTGGCCAGTGGGGAAAGGCCTATTAGGGTCCTTCAAGCCCAGTATATTCTCACTGGTGAAGAGTTCTTTGTTCATATTAGGATGGGTTTTGAAAAGAATGGCCGGATTCCCTCCAGTCTCAATCTGAAATANAAAGTTTAAGCTTGTATGATAGGTGAGAGATCAACATTATATTAGTCTAATAAAATTATAACATGTATAAATAATCATACTTGTGGGTCTTATTTCGTTATAACAACTATGTATCTTTAAAGCCAAACTTCTAATATTATTGAAAGAATTATTATAACATGCAATGTTAAATTTATAAAGTATGTGTGATATAATTATCAAAAGATCATCGACACTATTCATATACACATATTTATTAATTTATTGGGAACATATATAATTATTATAATATTTGAAGTATATACATACTAATTAATTTATATATTGTTGATGTGATTTTTTTTATGATTAGCGGTGTTTAGACCAGTTTATTTGTACCTCAATTAATCTCTAAGGATTGTAGAACTATCGGTCGGATAAAAATTTCAATGGCTATTCCTATTAGCAAATAAAAGGGACTTAAATTCAAGACCTCTTAAGTAATACACTCAAGAGACTTATATTAATGTGATATTACCATGATATCATAGACTTGTCTTTTAATTATTCACACATATAGAAATGTATGTGTATGTGCATATGATATGTATTTATATAATAATATACGGTGTACAAATAATTTGGAAGAAGATGATGAAGAAGACAAAGTGAAATAAAAAAAGAAGAGGTGTTGGCAGAAAGGAAGAGAGAGATTGGAAAAAATGATCTCGAAGGGTGCAAAAACTTGCACAGTAAGTTTGACCGTCAAGGAAGGAATCAAAATCAAGAGGGTAAAAAATTAAAACCCACATGGCCTCTAGAGTCCTTTTATTATATTAAATTAAAGCCTGCCTTACTGTAAAAAATAAATGCTCTCGGTAATATAATCATAATCATACCCCAACCAAACCAAACCAAACCAAACTTGTTTAATTTTTTATTTTTTTATTTTATTTTTATGGACTTTTGACCTAATACCCCTAGTTTTGTTTACTACCTTTTAGGGTTGGCCAAATCACTTTAATTAGTTTATTAATCCTTGTTTATTACTCACCAAATTGGGGTTTTGAAATAATTTTACTGTTTACTTTTACTACACGTCTACATTATTTTATCATTAATCTGAGAAAAATCTTGGGTTTGTTGAATATGTATCACCGTCAGTCTAGATGTTTTTTTTTTTTTTTTTTTTTTTTTAATAATCAGAAGGTTTCTAAACCAGCTTATGCGTACCTCAATTAATCTCTCAGGACCTTAAAACTATCGATCGAGTAAGAACTCTAGTGACTATCTTGATTAACAACCAAAGAGAGACTTAGAAGTATATATATACATATAGTAAGTTTGGTCCAAATGGTTGGGGCTTTATAAAGAGGGAGGCCGATGAGTTTTTTGGTGGTGGAATGTTGGATTTGGTAGTTAAAATTGATCGGAAATATTTGACTTGGAAGAGACGACTGCACAAACCCTAATCGCTCGATTGCCGGCAATTATCATGATCAATTGGAGTAGAGTTTGAGAGGTTTTGATGAGTATTAATCGGGGAAGAGAACGGTGATGGTGTAGGATCGCAACGATGCTAGAATTAAAAACAGAATATAAATTTAGATAACCAAATAGTATTTTAAAAGTCAGTAAGTGAAAATGTGTCATTAAACCATTATTTAGGGAAAAAAAAAGTCGTTTATTCTAGTCTATGTATATGTATATATAAAAGTAGCTAGGAGTGTACATGGAATGAGCCATGAAATGAAAGTAACTTCATGCTCTATTACTTTTTACTATATAGTTTTAATAAAATTATAACATATAGTATGAAATTTGGTTTTGAACTTCTTCTTAAAAAATAATAATAATAATTTGTCGATTGTAAGGTCAGAGCATTGTGGGCATACTGTTTTGGACTGATTACATGCAGGGGCGGACCCAGGCCCTTTGAGGGTAGGCCCAGGCCTGCCCTCAACTTTTAAAAAAAATTTGAGAAGTTTTTTTAAAAGGTAAAAAAAAAGAGAAAAAGTTAGGTTTTGCCTTTTTTATATTCTAAGTTTTTCTTTCTCAATTCCCAACTTCCCTTCCCTTTTACATGCGTATCTGGATTTGGAGTGATTGTAATCCATATTTTTGTAAATCTTTGTGTATTTTACTTTTATTAGAGTTGTGATTGAATTCTAAATTTATGTAGAATATTTTTGGTGAATTTGTGGTTATTATAAATGATAATCCTATTTTTCCCTATGATTTTGTATTGAATTTCGATAGGATTTAGGATACTTCTCATACAAATTGGGCCATAATTGCTACCTAATTTTATTAATTTGTCTTTGTAGGCCTAAACGATGATTTTGAGTATAGATGACAGTTTTGAGCGTAAATTACTTAACTTGAGCTTGGAAACTCAGAATGACCTGATTTTAGAAGCTTTAGAAAGCTAAGAAGCAGAGCTACAACTTTCATGTTTTGGGTTTTTCCTAATTCTGACTGGACAATGGTGAAAACTTGGCTTGAAGTTGTGAACAGTACATTGGAAACCGAAGGAAAACGTCTTTGGATGTGCTTCAGTATTTCTTCCATAACTTGAGCTGTAGACCTCGGATTGTTCTGATTCCTGAACGAGTAGAAACATAATATAAAGGGCTACAATTCATATTTTTAATACTTTTCCATATTAAGACTCTTTCATGCTCAAATTTGGCTCGAAAGATTCTCTCTGCGGCAAGAAAAAAGCTTCGCTGCGGCGAAACTGCGTCAGATGTGAAAAATAAAACGACGTGTTTTGGCTTGCTAGGGCTTGGTCCTTAAGTGAAAGAGGTATAAATTAGCACAAAAACGTAAGAAAAAAGGCCTTGGTTCGTCATTTGGAAGGCAGCTTTTGGAAGAAGAAGATTATTGAAGATTTGGGCTTCAAATTAGAGAAGATTTCTCCAACTTTTGCTTGTTTTTCAATGATGAATCTTGATTCAGTTTGTTTTTGTTATTTTGTTTTGTTTTTGAGTATGAACTGAGTTGTTTAGCTGATGTTTGATGTAACCTTAATACAATGATTCAAATTTATATGAATTGATTTACTTTGAGTTTTAATTTCATGATTGAGTGTTTATCTCTTTGCTTAATAACTTTTGGATGCTTGATTACCATTCAAATGTGTGTTGTTTACAATGAGATTGAGAAATGATTTGTGAATGTGCCTCTTGGGATAAATACCGTAGATTAAGCAAACACTAGAGATAGGTTTAGCGATTTATGAGAGATAGGTTTAGCGATTTATGAAATCTAGATAGAATTCCATAAAGCTTAAAAGACTTTGAGCTATTAATCTTCATTAAGCTTAAAAGACTTTAAACTCTTAATCTTCATTTTGTTAGGTGCGGAAGCTTAATAGGGATAAGTAGGAAAATATAGCCTGAGAATGTATGTTTTATAACTTAGGGAATTCAATTTTCAATCAAGGAATTAGAACTTGTATAATAGATTCTATGATTTGGGTTAGCATATCTACGTGAAATTAACACCTTAGCATTTTTTTTAGCATTTTGTTTAATTAGTTAAGTTGTTGGGTTTCGCTTTAATTTCATTATCATTCATTTATATTTTCTTAAATTGTATTTAGTTAGTTAATTTTTTATCAATCCAATTTATTGTTGCTTCAATTAGGACTTAAACTAGAGAAATCGGTACTTAGTAACACTATCCTCGTGGGAACGATACTCTACTTATCACTTTATTACTTTTTACGACTAGTGCACTTGCTATATTTGCATGTTTATCAAAAATATGCATCAGTAAACTCTTTTGATTATATTGGATTTAAGTGGATCGTTAGATTATATTCCCGTGGTTTTTTTATCTTTTCACATTGAAGAGGTTTTTCCACGTAACAATTTTCTTATATTTCCTTGTGAATTGGATGTTATTTTCTTATGTTTTCATTAGTTGATTGGCAAACAGTGGCGGAGCGAGGGCCCCCCCGGGCAAAAATCCTGGGTCCGCCACTGATTACATGCACCTGAATTATGATAAAAGGAGACTGTCTTCCACACATGCATTCAATATTTTATTAAATATTTTAAAGAATTAATTTTATGCATAGATCAAAAAGGAGAATTAATGAATGCCATGTGTTGAAATTCTAATAATGCCACCCAAACTTGAAACGACATATGTTTCTCATGCCCTTTTGTCAAATCAATCAAACCCTATTTAGGATGTTGCATTATTTGATCATCAGTCAACAAACACTTGTGACTTTTCATGGCTCGCTTCCCCTATTGGGTTTTAATCTATATTTATTACACATATATTTTATCTATTTTATTTTGATTGCTATGTGTCTTCATCATCATGTGGTGGAATATGCTCAACTCATTACATGGCATGTTCACATTAACCTTTTCTAACAAGATGATGACAATCCATACTTTTTTTTATTATTATTAAAGTGTTCGGATCAGTTTATACGCATCTCAACTAATTTTTTACGACTTTGAAACTATCAGTTAGGTAAGAACTTCAATAACCATCTCCATTAGTATTAAAAGTTGTGAGGACTCGAACTCGGGAGACTATGTTAGATATTTTTCTTACTCTTTTACCATCAAAAGGACTTGAACTTAAGATACTATGTTAGATCATCTTTTGTTCTTTTCTCATCACGCACCCAATGGGCCAATGGTTGTTAAAATAATTGTTCGGAAGATAAGATTCACACTAATTCCTATCCCAAAGTGCTCTAATTTTCATTTTATTTTTGAAAAAAAGAAAGACTTAATACCATAGACATAATACATTAATATATATATCATAGAAAATAAAATATAATGAAACAAAAAAAAAAAAAAAATCAATTTTTCATTTTTTTAACTATAGATGAGGATTAATTATAAAAATTCATCAAATTGTAAATTATCCACAAAGATATGATATTGATAAATGCTTTTTTAATAGAGAGTAACTTAATTTATATCAATTTAAATATTTGACTTCAAGTTCTTACATTAATTAATATATTTTAATGGTTACAAATTAATGAGATGACACGTTAAATAACTATATTTATCTTGACCTAATATACTTAAATTTGTATTTTATTTCATGATCAATTATATATATATATATATATATATAATGAAAATTCCAACATATTGACGATTCTCCTCAACTTTATATTTTCTATCACGTCTATCGTGCATGTATACCATCGTATTAATATCATTTTACCGTTTACATAAAAGTATAAAACGAATCACATCAGTTGAGATACAAACTTATGTAGAGTTAATTATCTTTTTTTTTTATAATAAAATATAATAAAAATAAGGTGGGATTGGGCCCAGAAATGTGGCCTATAGAGATAATGTTGGGTTCACTTATGCATGCATAGTCCATACTTTATGTTTCATAAAATTTTAGAGAATTCTGTGCATGGGATCCCACCCCAGCACGTGACCTAATTCNTCCAAACCCAAACCCGCTCCATTTTTTAAAATGAATAATGGAGCGGATTATGACATTCATAGAAGAGGTGGACATAGGCCTAGATGTCAGTTAGTTTCCAACGCAACTCACTCCACTGACATCCTTGTACAAAACCTCCACAACATTCATGTTAATGTCAGTTAGTTTTAACAGAACGGGTACAAAAGGAACTTAATTTATCCAATTTCTTTATCAATTATAAATTAAATTTAATAAAATAAAATAAAACCCTTCCCCTGCTTACAACACCCACCTCCACATCCCAAAAGCGCCGTTTCCATCTCCCTTATCTCCTATGCACGGCCTCACCGCCTCGCCGTCATCATCTCCCTCCATCGCCACTGTGCTGAGCAACACCCTACCCGTTCAAACCGTCGTGCCATGCCATGCCGTGCCCGCCACGCCCCACTTCACCGTCCAAGCAGTCGCCTACCTTCTTACCATGATACCATCCCAGCCATCGCCCAACCACCAATATTTCATACCTTCCCTTTTTTACTTTTAATTTTTTTGTGGCTTCCAACGGTCGTTATGGTGATGTTAGTTCATTTTGTGTTGAGTTGGGTTTGTTGGCTGTTCAGGTGTGCGTTTCACGGCCACCAGGGTGGACGCTTTTTCGTGGGGTGGGGAGCCTGTTGAGGTGGTGGTTTAATTGAATGGATGAGAGGCTGTTGCGGTGGCTTTTGCTTTTCTGGATGGCGTGAAGGTCGGGCTATTGGCGGGAAAGGATGGGCGGGGCACAAAAGTAATTCTTGAGAGTAATAAGGGTAATTACTTCTCTGTCATTGTCTGGTGATAGATTTCGTTATAATTTTACACTTACATCATTCTTTTACATCATTTTCATTACATCAGTAAGTTGGATATGTCGCAACTACATAAATTTTTAATTATTTTTAATTTTTAATATTATAATAGAATTTATATGATTGTAACATATACCACATCATAATATTTATAAAATAGTGTAAAAAAATGGTATAAGTATAACATTAGTCTTTGGTTATTAACGGTGGGGTTATTAGCTATTACTTATACGTCAGGTTTATTCCCTTATTTAATACTTATAACGTCAAGGGGTTTATTTACATAAGATAAACTGCGGGGTGGTGTGAACTTTATCCCTTAATTGTTTTTTTTCCTTTTTAACCCATTTGAATTTATATCCTATAAGTAGTTGGATAGAAGTCTATCCCAATACTATCTTTTATCATGTGATTACTCTAAATAAACTGTTAAGATTTTATTTATTTTTATTAAGCTCGAGAAGAAGAAGAGAGAGAAGAAAGGATGATCTACTATTTATTAATCGTAACAATATAGAAGCCAACTATATAAATAGCTACTATTACAATGAATTAGTTATAACAGAAAGTGTAATTAGAAAGCTAACTAACTAACTAATACGTACATTAACAACTAATCATTATTTACAATATTTACACCCTAATACTCCCTGTCAAGGTGGCTTATAAATGTCCTTTACAGCCATCTTGGACAACAAACAAAAGAGCCGAGTAGATGGGAGGGGTTTAGTAAACATGTCAGCTAATTGGTATTGAGATCTAATGGGTAATAATTTGAGAACTCCCGGAGCAACTCTTTCACGAACAAAACGGCAATCTATCTCGATATGCTTAGTGCGTTCATGAAAGGTTGGATTCGAGGCAATATGTATCGGAGCTTGATTGTCACAATATAGCAAACCAGGAGAATCAACCTTGACTTGAAAATCTTTAAGAAGTTGCTGCAACCAGATGAGCTCACTGGCAGTTTATTCTGAGTTTATTCTCAGTGATATTATTGTTGACGTCAAAGAATCTTTTAAGTCTTCAGTTTTTCTATAAATCTCACGCAAATACTATATTTTCTCATTACACACGAACATGAAGCTCTTCCCACTCCTTCTCTTTTTCTTCTTCTTCTTCTTCTTCTCCACTTTCTTCACATTTTGTTTAGCTGGAAATGTGACATTTGATAAACGCTCTTTGATCATTAATGGACAACGAAAGCTTCTCATTTCTGCTTCCATTCATTACCCTCGCAGCGTTCCTGCGGTGATTACCCTTTTTCTTTTTTTCTACCTTTTCAGAATATATAGTATCCTATAGTATATAGAAACTCATAAGGATTGAATTATCGTATTTTATGATGTAAAAATTAACTTCTATGAACTAAAAGCAAATTTTGGTTGTTTCTCTGTTTAATCTGCTTCTGTTGTTCACTGTTCTTGCTCTTTTGAAAGGTAAATAATCTTAGTATATATCTGGTATGTGGTAGATGTGGCCCGGGCTGGTGCAAACGGCAAAGGAAGGAGGAGCCGATGTTATTGAGTCATATGTGTTTTGGAATGGTCATGAGCTTTCTCCAGGCAAAGTGAGTTTCATTAAATGAATAGAAAATATTAAATATAAGATATGCATTATTTGTATTTAACACCGTTGGTTAAGTTATTAACCTTCTATTAACTTTGGAACTTCAAGTATTATTTCGGGGGACGATTTGATCTAGTCAAGTTTGTGAAGATAGTTCAAGATGCTGGGATGTATATGATTCTGCGAATTGGCCCGTTTGTTGCTGCTGAGTATAATTTGGGGTACTTTTTCATGTTAATTTAATATAAACTCTTTCAATTCTGTTTTCTTTTTATGAAATCTGAATATGTTGATCATATGTTATAGAGGGATACCTGTTTGGTTGCACTACATTCCAGGCAGCTTCTTTCGAACTGATAGTGAGCCCTTTAAGGTAACTAATTGATTTTCGTTCTCTG